GATAGGGAGGATAAATGGTATTAAAGTGGTGTAAGAAAGGCTGGTGAATTCTAACCACTGCACTACCAGGGCTCCTTCTATTGGAGTAGAGTGAGTTTGAATCCTATATGTCTAGTTTCCTTACAAAAGAGGAGAAGATACACAGGGGCGAGGAAGGACATTGTGTGATTCCTGCAAGCCAAGTAATATCTGCAGCTAGCAGAAACTATGAGGCATAGAACAGTTTCTCTCTCAGAATCCTCACAATCAACAGAACCGATACCCTGATGTTGACTTTCAGCCTCCAGAACTGCTGAATGAGAAATTTATGTTCTGATAAGCCACTCAGTTTGTGGCATTTTGGTATGGCAGCCCAAGTAAGTGAAAACACATACCAATAATAAAGGTGTATGCATTGAATAGTGGAGTTTCAGAATATGAAATAAAACTCATAGAACTACAGGGAAAAATAGGTAAATACACAATCATGGATGGGTATTCCCTCAATAGATGCTAGGCAAACAATCATATAGGAAATGGACAATTTGAACACTGTCAACCAACTTGACCTAATTGATATTTATAGAGCAGTACATGGAACAATTGCAGAATGCACGTTTTCAAGTGTATATGATGTATTCACCAAGATGGATCATATGTTGAATCAAAAAAGACTTAATAAAATTCAAAATACAGAAACATTAAAGAGTATGTTCTCTGACCACCCTAGAGGTTAATGATAAATGTTGTTGTTGTTCGGTACCATTGAGTAGACTCCAACTTACAGCAATCCTAAGTACAACAGAACAAAACGTTGCACAGTCCTGCACCATCCTCACAATCAATGCCATGTTGGAGGTCATTGTTGAAGCCACTATGTCAGCACATCTCATTGAAGGTCTTCCTCTTTTTCACTGACCCTCTAGTTTACAGAGCATGATGTCCTCCTCCATGGACTGGTCACCCCTGATAGCATATGAAATGAAGTCTCAGCATCTTTGCTCCCAAGGAGCATTATGGCTATGCTTCTTCCAAGACAGATTTGTTTATTCATCTGGCAGAATAAGGTACATTAAGTATTCTTTGCCAAAACCATAATTCAAAAGCATCAAATCTTCAGCCTTCCTTCATCATTGCCCAGCTTTTACACGTATATAATATGATTGAAAACGCCATGGCTTGGGTTGGGTGCAATTTAGGGCTCAAAGTGACAACTTTGCTTCTTAACATTTTAAAGAGATCTTTAGCAACAGATTTTTCCCAATGCAATATGTGGTTTGATTTCTTGACTAATTCATCTTTGATCATTGATTTTGGATCCAAGTAAAATGAAATCCTTGACAACTTCAAT